AAAAAAAAAGAAATAATTTGCTGAGTGTGGTGGTGCATGCCTTATAGTCCCAGCTACTTGGGAGGCTAAGGTGGGAGGATCACTTGAGCCTGGGAGGCAGGGGTTGCAGTGAGCTGAGATGGCACCACTGTACTACAGCCTGGGTGATAAAGAAAGGCCCTGTCTCAAAAAAAAAAAAAAAGAATTTTCCTTTGGCCACAGCATGCAAGATGACCTTTGGTGGAGGCAGGTAGGTAGAGCAGGGAGGGGCCTGCTACACAGTTCAGGTGAGAGACAATGCTGCCAGAGTAAGGGTCGTGGAGAGACGTGGATGGGCTGAGACATTAAGAAGGGCACTGGCAGGACTTTACAACTGATTGGATGTGGGAGTAAGAGGAACAGAGGAGTTGAGGCAGAGGCTTAGATTTGAGGCTCGGTGAATAGAAGTGTTGTTGCTGGGAAGCAGGTTTGGGAAGGATCAAGAGTTACTTCCCAGTGGGAATGTGAGCCCATATGTGGGCTGTATCAGGGGAAGTGTTTGAAGAGGTACGGGCCCTCCTCAGGAAGCATGGCCAGACCTTGAAGGCAGAGTGGACCGTCCTGTCTGACCTCCCTGGGAGGAATGCCCTTGCAGAGTCTGAGTTTTCCAGGACGTGGCTTGGGAGGTGCCTCTGACCTGCCTAGAGTCTCTTTGGAAGAGGGTCAGGCTTCCACCCCAGGGTAGCCTGTCCTCAACATACTCTGGAAGAGGAAGCCCTTGGGCTGAGAGAAGATACTTATGAAAATTCCACTCCCATAGCCTGATGTCTGCCAGTGGGCTTCGAATTATTACTGCTGGGAAAATACTAAACAGCAAATCTGAGGTTCGTCCATTCCTTCCCACTCCCCTTTGCTGGGCTGACCTCAGGCTAGTTACAGATCATCTCTGGGCCTCAGATTCCTCCACTGGGCCCTAAGGAAGACCAAGGAGCAGTGCAGGTAGCAACATCCTTCCCCACTCCCACAGGATGGGGAATTGTATGCCCTCAGGAAAAGCCAGGGAGGGGGAGCATGCCATCTTCAGGAACCTGAGGCTGTACGGAAAATGGCTACACTGAGGCCAGAGGCAAGGATGCCTCTGGAACACCCATGTGCAAAAGAAAGCAGGCCCCATCCCTCTCCCAAATCCAAAGGACTCTGAAGGCTCAAGGTATAGTCAAGGAAGCTGGAGAAGCCAGAGGCAGAGGTGTCTGATGGGGGGAGGCAGAGCCTCTCCCTCTGTCTTCCGTAGGATGTGCTTGAGAGTCTGCATGAGGGGCTGGGTCTGTGTGTGGGAGCATGTCAATGTCTGAGGCTGCAAATCTGTCAGAGTGCACACGTCTCTCTGTGTGTGTCACAGTGTCTGTGTGGCTCTCACCTTATACCCCTTTTCTCCTCCCTGCTCTGTGCTGCCTTCTCCACAATTCTCTGTCTCCTGGGGTCCTCCCTGTTCCCTGTTCTTATTGGGTCTCAGACCCAGACTATGCCCCCTCTTTTATTTCTTCTCATTCCCTCTAGATCATCAGAAGGTCAAAGCTGAGCCTGGGCAAGATAATGAAACCCCGTTTCTACATAAAATTTAAAAATTAACCAGACATGGTGGCATGTGCCTGTAGTCCCAGCTGCTCAGAGGCTGAGATGGGAAGATCACTTGAGCCCAGGAGGTTGAGGCTGCAGTGAGCTGTGATCAAGCCACTGCACTCCAACCTGGGCAACACAGCAAGACCCTGTCTCAAAAAATAAACAAATAAATAAATAAATAAATACGAAATTAAGAAAAGAAGGTCAAAATTGGCAGTGCCCTTTAAGACCATCCCCTTATTTCAGTGAAAATAGAAATTGAGAGAGAGGAGAAGACTGGCTCAGGGTTACATAGCAGGTCAGTGGGAGGGCCCAGATGAGCACTCAGGCTGAATCCGTGCCACCTGCCTGGGCCACCGTCTCCAAATCATGGCTATTCTTGTTCAGCACAGACCTTTTCCACCCACATCTGCCCTCTGGGAAAATCAGAGCTCTGATCTCCCTTTTGGCCCCAGTGGAAACATCTGGGGCCACAATCTCTGATACCCAGGAGATAGTCACCCCTAGGGGTGCCCACCAGCACCTCTGAGCCAGCAAGTCTACAGCCAGACTCGCTCCCAACCAGAGATGGTCAGACTGTCTCTGTTGCCCCTTCCTTCTCTCCCTCATCCCTGGGGTATGGGGAACACAATCTTAGCTACCTTCATTTTTTCTCTTCCCTTTGCCCTAGGTCTAACTTGCCATCAAGTCCTGTTGTCTCTTATTTTGAAATGCTGTTGGTACCTTCATTATGTCCATAGCCAGTGACACAGCCGAGGGGCTGAAGTCAAACTATGCTCTTGCCCATGGGGCTTCCCTGCCTGGCAGGAAGTGCCTTTCTTTTGATTCCTCTGTTAGGAGGGAATGGCTTTTTCCCCCCAAAAGGTACAATGTAGGCTAGAAGTAGCCATGCCTATGGGTCCCCTGAAACTCCAGAATCCTCTAGAATCTGGTCTCAAAGTGCCCACCTATCTAGCCTCAGCTCTCATTGCTTACCTCACCACCAAATACTCCTCTCAAGCCAGCCTTCTCACAGCCAGACACGCCTCACCTCTTTGCTAAGCTATTTTCCTCTCCCCTAATATCCTTTCTTCTCTCCTGGGCTATAATCAGTCTTCAGGGCCTGGTTGAAGCCTGCTTCCTTATGATCAGCCTTTTCCAGTCTGGACAGTGGAGAGTCAGCAGCCTGGGCTGAGCACTTTGGGCATGAGTCAGTCCCCCACAAGCATGTAGACTTCAGAGCTCTCTGACCCTCACCTGGTGCTGTAGAATCCCAGGATGCAGTCTGACTTGAGACAGGTCTTTGCATTAAACCCCTGTCTGAGTCAGAAAAAAAACTCTCCAGACCTTTTTGCTCAATGGCAAGGAGTTGATCCCCTCCAATATGCCCCAGTCCACTTTTGAGCAGGTTGAAGGGTGAGAAAAGTTTATTTTTCCCATGGGGGAAATAAAAGTGCTTTTCCCTATGCACTCACTTCTCTCAGTGAGTGCTTAGTCCTCACTGGGTCTGGGACTCATAAGAGCAGGGGGTTTTCTCTCTTATAGCTCCCCTACCCTGGTTCCCACCCTGCCTTCTGTGCCTACACAGAACTGTCCTGCGGAGACATAGTGGCAATGCCTAGGACACAGTGATGTTCAATGAATGTCTCTTGGTGGATTACATAAGAGGTGCAGAACCCCCTTCTTCCTCCCTGGATCTATGTCAGGCTGTTTTGTTTATCTGCGTTCTTCTGCTCTCACACCCACTTCAGAGACAATGGAACCCAGACCTAGGGAAAGGAAGGGTTCACCCAAGGCCAACTATAGCCCATCAGCAGCAAAGTGAAGGCCAGAACCCAGCTGGGGACAATGCTCTGCTGGAGCTGTGGCCCTGCTGAACCTGGGCAGGCTCCTCTGCTTACCTCTTGAGGGCTATCCTCCAGCTGTGAAGGAGCTGAGACTGCCCCATACACAAAACCACTGCCCCAGCATGCCCAGAGGGTTCTTCAAGAGGGCTAAGGGCTGTGGGGCTTGAATGGAGAGGTGGCTGAGGCTTTGAATGGGAGGGACTGAAGGAAGCAATAATCCCACACCCTCACCCAGCTTCAGAGGAGCCGGTGCTGAGGCGGTTGCCATAGTGACAGTAGCTCCCTGGTCAGGAGATTTTCTCTTTCCTCTCCTCCCTTTGCTCTTCCCCAAGCAGCAGCAATAGCAGCAGCAACCAGGTCTTTTCCCTCTCCTTCTTAATGAGAGGCAGGGGATGACAAACAAAGAGTAAGCCCTGATGGTCACCTTCAATTTGGAGCTGTCCATGTCAGGATGGGCTAGTGGTCTAGGAGGGACTCCTAATAGAAGGGGCCTAGAGAGTGTGTAGGAGGAGGTAGCCTGTATCTAGGCTTAGGTAAGAAAGAATGTGCCTTCAGTGAGTTCTAAACCAACCCCGCCCCCCTCAGGCCTCCTCTCTTTAATGTCCTCTTGGTTCAGGGTTCTGTTTTTCCATAATCAGCCATAGAACCAGGGTGTCTTAGTACCAGAAGGCTGTTCAAGTTCATCTCACCCAGTCTACCCTCTCTCTTATACCCCTCCCCATTTTCATGAAGGATCAGAGAGGGAAGTGACTTGGCCAAAGTCAAACTTTGGCTGTGCAAGATATGAACCCAGCTCATCTGCCCTCCAGGTATAGTCCACTTTAGGGCCAGGAGCAACACAGCCCACATGGCACTTTGGCAGGGTCCACACGGAGCAGCAGGAAGATGGAGAGAGGGAGCAAATAGTCATACAAATTAGAGAGATATTTGACAGGCAGAATGAGAGGACTTGGTGCCTGACTGTGAGCGGGGAGGGAGGAGGTATGGAGGTTGGGGCCTTGGCAGCAACTGGACTGACAGGGCATGGGTGGTCTGCTGGGCGTGGTGTCCTTGGTTCATCCTCCCGTCAGCATGAGAGTTGCCAAATATGGGGCCTCTGCCTAGCACGGGGGGCCACTGAGGAGGGCTGTCGAGACTGTCTGTGAGGAGAAAAACTGGGGAAGGGGCATTGTCCCTCCCTCAGGTATGCTGTGGTCTCTGTCAGCTTGAGGGGTGGTAAGTGGGGACAGTGTCTGAGGACAAGGAGAAGGCAGCGCTCTGTGGAGGGGGAGGCTGTCTTTGGGGGCAGGGGCTCCCTGATGAAAAGTGGCTAGGGGCTATCTGTGGAGGTGGGAGTTTGCCATGGGGCTGGACAGACAACCCATATCCAAACAGAAGGGAGGGTGACCAGCGCCTGGAGCTAGCACCAGCGCCACCACACCCCCAGATGTATGTGTGTGCACCTGTGTGCGTGTGTGTGTGTGCATGCGTGTATGTTGGGGGCCAGAGCAATGGTTGTTCTCACCTGAGCTGGGGATAAGGAGGCGGCTCTGCCTCCTCCTCTGCACCCATGGGCCTGGACTGAGGTGGGCGGTCTCCTGCCCAGGGGTGGGTTCTTCAGTTGCTGCCGCCTAAGGCGGAACCACGGGTCGGGGAGTTGAATCAGGGCAGGACATGAGGATGGGAAGAGAGAGTGGAGGGGGAGGGGGAGGGGGCCAGGGCCTCCGCCGGGTGGGGTTGTTGCCTTGAGGATCCGGTCCCACTCGCATTACCTGAGGCCGCTCGCCGGGTCGCTGGATGGCTCCGAGCCTCGGCGGGCCGCGGGGACCGAGACTGGCTCCCGGGCCGGCAGCTGTGCTCTCCGAGGTCCGCGCTGGAGCCGCCTCCCAGATCTTGTATCACTATGTGCCTCCCGAAGGCGACACGTTTTGCATAAGCCCCGCCCCATCCCGGGCAGGTTGCACGGCTATTGGCTCCTCTGGAGCGGAGTGGCAGGCGGGGTTTCAGGTGGGGACCGGGTGGCCAGCGAGGCCCGGCCGCAGGAGCGCGCCCCGCCTTCCCGCGCTGACCTTCCCGGAGTCGCCGGGAAGCGGGAGGGCTGCACCCCCATCCGCACCCCTGCCCTGAGGCTCAGCCCCCGGCTTACAGGTCTGGGGTGAAAAGGGTCGACGATGGAAGTGGATTCTCAAAAACAACCTCACCGTTGCTATGGAAACGGGAGAACCACAGCCGAATCTCTAAGCTTCCTTTCCTGGGCCCCAGCATGGGTGGGGGCGGAAGAGGGGATGAATCACAAGATGAGACCCCCCCCTCCATATCCCAGCCGAAATTGGAGGGGGGCAATGAAGAGCTGCGGAGGAGCTGGGTGGGAGAGGGAGGAGGCGGGTGGTCAGCAGTCCACGCCACTGTGTCCCCCCTCCCCACGCACCCACTCCCTTCACGCCGTGGGGCAGAGAGGAGGGTGCTGGGTGCGCGCGAAGAGCTCGGTATGGGTGGCGAAGTCCCCAGACTCTACCTAGCCCCGCGCTAGTCGTGGGTTCCCTCCAGCCACCCCTCCAGCCCTTCATTCCGGTCCCTCCCCAGACGGGCCCTCCTCCTTTCTCACGGACCCCAAAGAGGCCTCTCGCGTTCTCCCCCAGAAGGACCCCTATGCCTACCCATGGATCCTCCATTCCCCACCCTTCCGTCTTCCCGTCCCGTAGACAGAGCCGGTCCCCAGCCGCCGCCAGTCTCCGGCCTCGGATGTTGACACAAACCCGAGGCGGTTTACACTGAGCGGGTCTGGAAGCTTTCAGGGCCTCGGCAACACCTCCTCCCCGCACTCGGGGGTCTCCCCAAAGCCCGGCCCGGCCGCCTGGGCTGCACTGGCGTCTGAGAGCTCCTGACACAAGGCGGTTGGAAGGAACCCTTTTAAGCCAAACTGGGGGCAAAAGGGGAGCAGATATCCCCGGGCTGGGCCACGTGCGGGGAAGGGACTTCTAAGGATCTGTCAAAAGTCGGGGCAGGCGGCTGGGGATTGGCCTAATGGGAGCGCGGACGCTGAAGAGCAGCGGTGAGAGGCGGGGCTTCTGTCCGCGCGGCGAAGGTAGAGGTGGGCGGGGCGGGACGATGGGGGATGGGGTCAGACCTGCCGCGAGCAGGGGCGAGGCTTCTGGAGCTGGTCCCAGAAACGCCTGGGCCAGGCTCGCTGGGGGAGGAACCCGTGGACGTCCCTTTTCTTTAGGAACTGTCTCGTTGCCCCTTGAAACGGTTTTGCTCTACCATTCTCGCGGCTGCGGGCTATGCCTTCTCTCTGCGGCCTTAGCAGGGGGCTGACGGCTCCAAAGAACCTGCAGCTGAAGGAGGAGGGGCATCCTTGGCACTATGGGTTGGTGACTCCTGAAAGACAGGTGTTTGAAGTTCTAAATCTTTCACTTCCCTGATACCTTCTCAGCTCTGGGTCTTGGGGACCCAGAGATGAGCAAGAACCCCCTTGCTCACGGTTAACCATAATCCAAGGCGTGAAGAAGTGGGGAGAGGCAGCACGGGTTACTAGAAGTGGTATCTGAAACCCTAACACTGACTGACCCAAGTTCACATTGCTAACATTGAGTCTCATTTTTGCCGATGATTCCATTTATGACCATGGGCAAAACCCTTCTCATTCTGGGCCTTCCAGTCTGTGAAATGTGGGAGCTGGCACAGGAGGTCCACAGGAGCAGGGGGAAATTTTCAACTAGGGGGGTGAAGAGAGACTGTCCCTTGGACAGAAGTATGTGGACATGAATCTGACTGCGCCACTTAGAGTCCTGAGCCCTTTAACAATAGCTAATGTGTATTGAGAGCTTACTTTGTGCCAGGTGCTGTTCTAGCATATTATATATATTACTCAATTTATTCCCCATAAGAGCTCTGTGAGGCAGGTTCTGTTATCACTCGGACTTA